CATGGCACGCGTGCTCGAAAATGTGTTGATATGTAGCTTTCACTTGGATAGTCAGGTCGCCAGCGTACACGTACAACGCGCGCTCGATGTGCTCCGAAGTGTCATGCGCTGAATTCACCGGAGTCAACAAAACCAGCTGTAAAATAAACGTGGCCAGGCTGCATCCAGGAAGCTCCCCGAGAGGCAAATACGGGTTCGGGTAAGGCGCCAGCCCGCGCCAAATGCCGTCTTCGCAAGCAACCTTGTTGTGAGGCAGATAGGCCTTGCCACGAAGCAAGACTCTCGAGGCGACGTCTGTCGTCGACCTTCCAGTGCCAAGTGCGAGAGAATGTCGGCCTAGTTTGTTGGTCCGAGCTTGCGCGTGATCAATTCTGGTCTTGGCTCAAACTCGATACAACGAAACCAAGAGAGCGATCGGTCGATAACCACCCCGTCGGCTTCTGTAGTAGCACGATGTGGACTTGCCGCAACTGCCTTGGCCATGATGATCACGCTTCGCACAAGTAAAACAGATGCCACATGGTGGATAAGGCGCCGTCGGAAACCGGGGGCCAGTGTTTTGGACGCCACAAGTCGGCCCCGACCGCGGTCCTGGCAGGAAGCGCCTTGGCAGGTTTCCTCAACCCCTGCATCCCCATAGGCGGCAAACGAGGACCCGTGTCTCGAAGCTGATCCAGCTCGTGGTTGAGCGGCTCCATGGAGGCTGGCGAAGGTTCACCATCCCCTATACTTTCCAGAAGTCCCGCTGCACGTTTGCCACATCACCAGCGTGACGGGAGGGCCCCAGGGCCGCGTGAATCTGCGAGCGCTGCCACCCTCGAGGTTTTGTCCAATGCACTGGCTTGGGGCGGCCACTCAGACAATCCCGAAGCCACTTGACGAAGCCCTGCCCTCGCGCCTGCCCAAGTCGACGCTCTTGGATACATGCCAGGCTGGCCAGAGAGGCAGCCGTGGTGCGCCGGAAGACGGCATGGTACTGCGACGGCGGAGCGAAGATGCATGCGATGTAGTAAGTAACTTCACCGATCAATTCAGCATCCAGTACATCGGTAAGCCAACGAAGCCGCCCATGCCCTCGAACAACACCCAGTAGCGGCTGCCAAACCATAGCGTGCTGAGGCTGTGGGACACACCCGTGCTTCGCCACTACGTGTGCCAGGTCCTCCAACCGATGCTGCACGGCCCGCAAAGCTCTGGAGTGGGTGGTCCCAGCAGGCTGCTGGGCTGCGAGGGCTCCCCCCGCAGTGGGCTTGCGGCAGGTCGCCGAGCTGCCTCTCCCCTGGTGCTTGGTATAGTCATCGCAATCGAAGATTGAGCTGAGCTCCTTCTCGGCGCCTGCGTACAGCTGCTGACGCAGAAACTCGAGCCGCCCACCTCGTGACCGATCATCGCCAGGCCCGCACTGAGCATCCTGACGCATCCTCTCGACCCAGACGGTGCCTGAGTCTCCGAGTGGAACGACGTCTTGATCGTCTTCATCCGAGTCTTCACTGAGACGAGGCTTGCGAGCTGGCTTACTAGGCAGAACACAAGGGCCCTGCATCTCCATAAGCTGTCGGGGGCGAGGTCGCGATCCTGCCTCAACTCTCATAGGGAAATGTGGGCGCGGTGGGCAATCATCAATGCGTTTCGCGTCGGTCATCTCCGCCGCCAGTGCGTCGCTGGCGAGCCAGTAGTCCAGGTGCGTGTGCTTGCCTGTGGTGGCCACTCTGTTTGAGCCATGGGTGCAGACCACCAACTCTCACTCAAGACCTGCGGGCTTACGTTCCAATCCCCGCCTGTGACGTAGGGCGCTCGATAGTATCTTAGCTTCTGACCAATCTTCTCCAAGCGAGGGATGTTGGAGCCTTTCAGCCCTACGCCCTGCTCGAGGTAGATGCTTCCTGCGATGAACCCTCCTCGCGGGCCCGTGTGAATGTACGCCGCGACGCACCAAGCTTTGACCAGCGCATGATCATTCACACCTGGGAAAGCGTCGACCAGCGCATGATCATTCACACCTGGGAAAGCGTCGAGGTACGTCGTGCCGACGTAGTGCCTCACGAATAGCCCCAGTCCAGCAATCGGCTGACCAGTAGGGCCAGACTGGCAATCACTTATGAAGGCCTTCCAACCACTTCGATGTCACCACTATCCAGCTTGCCTGCGTTGGTCACGGCGCACTCGAAACTCCTGAAAGGCAGCGCCGAGAGCTCCCGCCGCGTCCTCTTGCGAGGCATCTCTGAGTCGTGACCCCCCGCTGGCACGGCGAGTCACGAGCGTGAGGGTCTCCCGCTGGCTCCCGCGAGCTGCCCTCCGTGACGTGCCGCGGCATCGTCCCGCCCGTGGTAGCGATGGCCCTACGGTCGGGGCCCTGAAGAAGGAACCCTTTTCGTTGGGGAGGGGCTCCGCGTTCCTTCAGTGCTTCGCAGCTTGCCTCAGGTTTTCCTTATGTTTTCGATCGGGAATCGAAGTTCAACTTATGGAAAAAGGGGGTCTCGTTCCTTATTTTGGGTTCCTTAGGTCAAGGCCCCGACTGTATGCCGCTCTCTCCCACCGCGTCCGACTCGACACTGTTGGCGCCCAGCAGAGAAGGACCGGGCGCCCGTGTCACTCGCGGACCGGCCGACGCCTGTGCCAGCGCTGCCCTGGACCCTGGGTCACCTGTCCTGGGGCGACTGCAAAACGACGCGAAGATCGGGACAAAATCGGATCGGGATAACTCGAAATCTCTGAGAATCGGCGGGTTTGGAGGATGTATTGGGCGCCGCGGTCGCTCCAGAGCGTTCCGGAACGCTCTGAGAGCGCTCCGGAACGCTTTGGAGCGATTTATCCTGATCCTAGCTCTGTTTTAGACTGGACCTGGGCCCAGCCTAGGAGTTCGCCCGACTGCATCATTTCAGGTCGATGGGGGCAGGCCTTCGTAGGGGTCGTCGTACAGTGCCGTTTTTAATGCACGCCCCGCGTGCGGATCATGAATCAAACATGCAGGGATTTAGTTAAAAAGCAACCATGAGTTCATGCATCAATTTATTCATAAACTAATCATGTATTAATCATGAATAAAACATCCGATATTTTGAAAAATCCCAAGTATTAAAAACTGCCCTGTGCACTCCATCCACAACTGAACGCATCAACGCGGGATCTGCCGACTCCTGTGCCAGCACTGCCCCTGGCCTGGGTCACCTGCCCGGCGACGACTGAGCCTGGGTTGTGCCCGGGATTCGGCAAGGCATTTGCCGCAGACAGGAAGGTCATCCAGTGAACGAAGACCTTCATGATTGAACAGCCGCGGCATGATGACGAACAGTAGACCTAATCTGATTCGGAAACCGTTCGCGCCATGTCCTCGTCCTGTGCCTCTTGCTCGTCGAAGAGGTCTTGCCGTGGATGGACTGGCGAGGACGGTGCGAGAGGGGCTGGTACTGATGCTGTTGCTAATGCTGTTGCAGCACGCCGCGTGCTGCGGTGAAGCTGGCGCCGACTGCTGCGGCCGCGGCTGCTGCTGCTGCGACTGCTGAACCACTCCCTGCAACTGCGCCAACTGCTCACTCAGCGCTTGCAACATCGCTTGTGGGGCTCTCTGCCAAGATCGCTGCCTGGGTGACCTGCGACCACTGCCCGCAGCCGATCCACTGCATCCCGAAGAGAGGAAGCGGCACTCGGCGGCTGCGCAGGCGGAAGCGAGGGCCGCCGTCCTGGCCAGGTGCACCTCTGACCGTCTACTCCGCGGCCCAACGGCGGCGGCCTCCGAGGCCTTCTTCTTCTCCTGCAGCCTGGATTCCAACTCCGAGACTGCCTTGGCGTACTTCTCCAGTCATTTCGTTTTGGCCGTGTGACGGTCGAGGGCTCGACGTAGCATGTCATCTGGTGTCCGAGTGGATGGTCCCTTCTCTTCGGCACACTGCAGATCGCGTCGAGCTTGCTGTATGACGGCGCTGTCGTCTGCGAGGCCCAACTTGCGTAGAGCTCCCAACGCACGACGTGCCTGGGCGACCTCATCCGCCTGGTAACCAGGACCTCCGCTGCCGTCACCGTCTTTCTTGTCTTTGCCACTTCCATCTGTTCGGGGCCTGGAGGCAGCACGCTTCGACTTTGGTCTCCGTCGCGGCACAAACCCTGGATCAGGTACCCCGCGACGATCACGACCACAACTGGAGCACTTATCGTTGCTCGCATAGTTACCCTGGAAACCGCACTGACGTGAAGCCACGCAGGCCCATCTCGGCTCCTTCTGGGCATTGTTGGTTCGCCTGCATGGCCGAGTGCTGCTCTCAGCAACCCTACTCATGAGATGCTCCTGCGACCCGTGATGTTTGTTCAAATCCCCCCCAGCTCCTCAATCCTCAGCAACCTCTGTCGTCGGTGCCAGGCTGGCGAACGTGATTTGACTGAATGTATGTTGGAGTCGACTCGCGCCTGGGCAAGCGCGAGCCTGGGGCGGGCTACAGTATCGGACTGAGGAGGCCACAATCCAAAACGCACCGACGGGACAAGTCTCCGTCGGCTCCAGCCCACGCCTGAGGAGGAGGAGGAGGAGGAGGAGGAGGAGGAGGAGGAGGAGGAGGAGGAGGAGAAGGAAGAGAAGTGGATTGGCGAACGGCTCCAGATGGCTTCCAGGCAGCTCCAGCCAGTTCAGGGTGGTTTCAGAACGGTCTCAGGTGGCCCCAAGACGGTTCCGACATGGTTCCGACATGACCCCCTAAGCGGGCACCGAGAGGCAAACACCGCCCCATCTTTCAAGTAACGCGTGTATTTCCATCGGTCGCTTTTTCGGCATAGACAGCTTCCAGGACGGCCGAAGAAGGCCCCCAAGACCGCCCCAAGACGGCGCAAGAGCCCCCCGAGAGTGCCCTGAGACGGCGCCAGATGCGCCAAATATTGGCCCATGAACGCTTCCGCAGCCGTTTTGGCTCAAGCCTTTCTGGCGCAAGGCCCGCTTCCGCTAGACCCATCATTCGCTTGCTCGACCAACTGTTCGCCCGTAGGCCGCACGCGGCTCTGTCCCCTCTGCGCGCATGTCTGCGGCCGCGGCGAGGACGAGCACGGCGGCAAGGGCGACCGTCTTGACCAGCCTCCCCATCTCTCTCGCGTGGCGTTCCGCTGGCTTCCGCTGGGCGCAAGGCGATATGCCGGCCGAGTTCTCCTGCATCGCGCCGCTGCTGCTCGGCTCGCTGCTGCTCTGCGTCGTGCTTCTCTTCCTCCTCCTCGCGGTGCACGGCCGCGCGGAGGTCCGCAAGTTATGGAGCAAGAGGCATGCCAACGCCACCCTCCCAGGCATCTTTTCCGCGTTGACCTTCGTCCTCGAAAACTTCGCGCTCGCGAACGGCCTCAGCGCGACCTCGGTGGTTCTGCTCAACAAGTTCGCGATTCTGCCAGGTGTCCTCGGGGAGATCTGGCTGACGCGGACCACGCCGTACCGCACGCAGCTCGCCACCATGGCGGCTTTGATTTTGTGCATCATCGTTTGCTCTCTCGGCGACGACGGCGAACCTAACATGTCGCTCGTAGGGTTGCTCTTGGGCCTTGGTGCAGCCCTCTCAGACGGAGTTGGCAACATCGCCTTTGAGGCCACGGCGCAGTCCCGCCTCGACGACCTGGAGGAGGATTCGGGGGCCGAAACGCTCAGGTGTTTCCTCGTGAACGAGTTGTGCAAGTCCGTGTTCAACATCGTACTGATGCTCGTGTTCGAGCGCAAGCACCTGTCGCAAGGTTTCTTCAATGGCTGGGGCCTCCCTATGCTCGTCGGCGGTGTCATGCCTCTCCCCGCGATGGTCGCGCTTTACAACACGGCCATCTTGACGGCAGGCAGCTTGACGACCAGGATGGCAGCGTCCGCCGATATTGGCATCGCTTACTTGATGGATGCGCTTATCTTCGGTGACACGGTCAGGATCTCCCAGGGCCTGTTGATCCTCGCCATCATCGCTTTGATCGGCGTCTACACCAAGTTCGCCGTCGACGTGCGGAAGGCCGCCGCAGACGCCCTCATCAGGTCGGAGATGCTAGTTGTAGATGTCGTGTGTAGGGTGTGAAACGTTTTCGCGGTCCCTCGTCGGGAGAGCTCTCCGTCTCGGCCAAGGCTGGCGACCGCAGTAGCAGCGGTAGTGATGTTGCCTGCAGGCAATGGCACACTCGTCGGTTATTTCGGAGGAGCAAGTTGTCATACGCGTTAGTTGAAGCCAGCGGCGCGCACAAGCCAGCGCGTCGAACATTTTCGAAAAACGCCAGGATGTCCAAGATGTCCTGATATTCCACGGGGGATGCAGAAACGAGAACCGCCAGATACGCTAGACATCCTGAAACGTACAGTCGGCCCAGATTAGTAGGTCGACCCTGCCAGCTCAAGGGTACCATTTTGTCCTGTGCTTCGCGACACGTGCCCTCTTACACTCCAATGGCGATGCGGCCTTCGGAAGGGTCTTGTGTCCTCTCGCGTGTCCTCTCCAATCAAGTCCGACTGTATCCTGAACCAATCTTATCATGACATCGTCACCGTTTTATTATTGAACTCCCTACCAAGGCTAGGATTGTTTGGCTACCGTCGCGGCTAGCCTTGACGTAAGTTTAGAATTATGACGCTTCGAAGTCGGTGCTGTCTCTCGTCGTGAAGCTGCGCCCAACCTTTCCCTGCAGCCGTTGGGGACGCTCAGTGCGCAGGCGTTTTTCGGCATGCTCTTCCGCCGGAACCGCTCGATTACAAGCTTAGCTCCTGTTCCACACGTTTTTCCGACGATGTCGTCCGTAGGTTGATTTGTCTCTTACGTGGAAGGTATTCGATCCGCGTGCACTTTGTTTTTGTTGCCCTCCTGGTGCGAGCTCCGTTTTGGTGGCCAACTTGCAAATCATATCCATGGTGCAGACATTGCCTGCGCTTCAGGCTGCTTTTGGTCTTCGTTGCAGAGAGCGTCTCCTGAGCGGGCTTGAGCTCGCCTGCGCTGCCTGGGATCCGTGCCCAACTTTGCCTGTAGCCAATATGGACATGTTTGCAGGCGCCTACGGTGAATGACCTCTGCCCCTTGCCTTTTAGGATACGCCTGTGTGGTCAAACGTTTGGGCAAAGCTTCGCCACTATTGGTCCATGCCTTCGCCAAGCCGTTGTGGAAGCTCTTCGGGGAACACTCAGGGAAGGAAGTGGAGGATGAGGACAAGGAGGAAAAAGGAGGATGAGGAGAAGGATGAGAAGACCTTTTCGGAGCTTCTTGGGTCATTCTTGGCTTCTCCTGGGAGCTTCCTGGGGGCCTCTTGGGGGCCTCGTGGGGGTCTCCTTGGGCCTCTTGGGGGCCTTTTGGGGCTTCTCGGTGGCCTCGTTGGCCGTCTTGCTGCGTTCGTAGCCCGTCTGACGCCGTCGGAAGCCGTCTTGGGAGCCTTTCTGGGCCGTATTGGGGCCCTCTTAGAGGGCTTCAGGGTCGTCTTGACGGTCATCTTGGGCGTCTTGGAGGCCTCTTGGGCCGTCTTGGGGCCCGGTGGAGGCCGTCTTGGGACCCTCTTATGTCGTCCTGTGGCCATCTTGGATGCTTCTTGGGCGATCTTGGGGCAATATTTGGGGCCTCTTGGGCCGTCCTGGGCCGTCGGACGGCCATTTCGAAGCTAATGCCAACGTCCTTCAACAACCTATGGAAATCAATGATTTGGGTATCTTGGAGCCTTCCTGGAAGACCTCCTGGAGGTCCCATGGGCCGTTTTCGAGGAGGAGGAGGAGGAGGAGGAGGAGGAGCAGGAGGAGGAGGAGCATTGAGCATTGAGATTCCCATTGCGAATGCAAGAAAGGTGTGCTTACAGCTGCTCATCCTCCCGTAGCCGCCTCTGGTCGGCGATGCCGAGGGACTTGGAGGCAAACCTGCTGCAATACGTCTAAGATATTCCCTACCTGTACGAGTGTGGCGGGTGTTACAGGGCTTCCCCAACAAACACACCTGCTTGTCAGCAATGGCCCCGCGCGAACCGCAGAACCAGACTCGTAGAACATAATAAAAATTGAGGAAATGGGAAGGGTGCAGCCAGCCCCCCGCAACATGGATCCGACCACCGACGGGTGGGGAGAACAAAGTGCCGTCGACATTGACAAGATCAAAGCACCTCGAAGCCTGCCACTCCTGGGCGGTGGAGGCAGAGGCCGAACCGAAACACTTAAGACACTTACTTTGACACTCCGTGAGCCTATGAGCCGAGAGCAAGGAGGAGAGAGCAGCAGCAGCGGGGCGGGGCGGGATTGGGGGAGGAGGGGTTTCCCCCTCACTTGTCCTATCCCTGGCTTCCACGGCTTTATCTTGCTCGGCTTTAAAGACATCCAGAGTGGCCCGTAGCAGTCTCATACGAACTAGCATAGCACGGTGCTCCTGCAAACGGACTTCCTGGCAAACAGACACTGGAATGCGGGCGACTTGAGCCGCGGCGTCAGCCAGACTATCAGCTACCGTGTTCGCAACAACAAGGGCACTGTGAGATTTGCCCGCAACAATGTCATGCTCAGACTGATGGCTGCGTGTGAAAAGAACAGATATGAGAAAAGGTGGCCGACCATACAATTCATCGCGAATACAGGCCCACAGGTCAGCGTCGGGACCAGAGGGCTGCTCAAACTTGCGGGTGTACCAACCCGCGGCAAGTGGCTCAAAGTCAGTAATATACAGCAAATACCTTTTAGTGTATTGTAACGCTCGGAGGAAGGCACGAATCTCCCCCGTAGCAACAACCTGGCGGCCTCCGCTGAGGGGTCCCAAGACAGACGCTCTAGGAGACAACGGGGCCAGAGAGTTAAAGCAGGCTATCGCGAGCCCTACACGTCGGAGCCTGGGCCATTTGGACTCGGGCCCCCCCGACGCATCTCCGGCAACTAAAAGGGGCTCACTCAGGGTCCCCTCGCCCAGGCAGCCCGCAGACAAACCGTCAAGCCCCTGGAGGTGCCACTGGTCCACGCGAGGGGCCTCGGGAACTTGGGTCCACCGTTGGGGCAGGAGGCCTCTAAGCCAAAACCCTTCGTCACTATTGCACTGGGCAGCGGCGGCTGGAATCAGGTGGGCGCTAGCCTTATAAGCTGGTGATCCCTCATTCTTCTCACACTCCCAGTATCGGTGCAGCAGCGTCTCGGGCGCAACGCCGCACCGATCACAACAGAGGTCGCCCGTGTAGCGCGCAAGTTGCTGCTGCTTGCGCTCCTTGGGCCAGCACCCCCCCCGACGCCACTGCCACCATCGTGCTCGCGAGCTGATGGCCGTGTGGCGCATTTTCGAGCTGCTGGATGAGGCGCTGGTACGGATCCATGTCAACTCCCCGCTCCAGACCTCCTCCGTAGTGGGTGCAAGCAGAGGCCCAGCGTATACGCGTGACCGAGGCCTCCAGATCTCGCAGTCAATGGCCATGAACGTCGCGGTCTCGATCCCCCGTGTAGGACTCGCCGGGGAACTCCCATTCCTCACATCCACCATCGTCCGTGGCATATCTCCATTGTGTGGGGCGGTGTGGGTCCCAGCCTGCCCTCATCGCTGCGGTGGGACCCCGAACGTGGTGAGCTTGGTCCGCAACTGGGAGCTCATGCATCTTGGCATAGACTTCGGCCACACCGCGGTAATGCCTCGTCGTAGTTCAGGGTGGTCCCTCCACGTGCGTAGCCAGAGATCTACCAGCTGCACTGGGAGACGGATCGCAGGGTCACGGCGTGTGGCCTGCAGGTCCAGCACCGTGGTCAGGCAACGCCAGCGGTTCTTTGCCGAACATGCTTGAGCCAGGCGTCGTCGTACCAACTGAAGGTGGCGACCGGATGCACCGTGAATCTGGTGTCCGTATAGTCTTGCAGGTAAGCCTCCTTGCATCTGCAGCTTGGAGATCGCTTTGTATTTCCTGGAGGCGCGTGTAAACCGTCTTATCTTAGCCGACATCGTCACATGCTTCTGTTCTCGTAGGCGTCGTGTGCTGCGGGCGTGGCGCCCGCGCCCGAAGCCCACTCCAAGGTAGGCGGCCTGAGAGGCACCACGCACAGCATAGCCCTTGCACTTGACGGCGCGGACAATGGCCTTGGTGTCGGCCATCTTCGTCGCCATGACAATCGACTTGGGTGAGACCTTTAGGCCTCTGGTCTCCAGCAACTGGCAGGTGTGCACGACGCAGTCGGTGATCAATGGCCTTGCTGGATCCAGTCATACTTTGAGACAAGTCGTCCACCCACAGCCTGTGTCCAAGCCGAGGATGTGCGACTGTAATTTTCATCATCACAGAATGCGTCAGCGCCTTCGCAAAGCGCGTGCCGCTGCGCAGCCCCTGTACCACCGAGCGAGACGGCTCGAAGGTCGTGGTGACTGCGCCTGATTGCTCCAGCGGTCTGGGCGATATGCATTGGGCCAGCTCGAGGTACAGCACAACGGCAGGATACTCGAATCTTAAGGCCGCCTCGACCAATGCTGTCCACGGTGTCGTGTCATAAAATGCTTCAATATCGAACCTCGCATGGCCATGCGACATGGAAAAGGTGTGAGCCACCTCCTCATCCAGTGCACGAAGGAAGGCCTCCTGGAGGCAGGAGTTGCCTCTGATCGCGGCGTCCCAGTCCGCGTGATGGTACTGGGCCCACTCCTGCACGTGGGCCTCGCGGATCATGGACCAGACCCGTCCCAACATGGAGGTGATACCGATAAATCTGTCAGCACCACTCTTCTTGGGGGTAAGTTTCCCCAAGATAAGTTGAGTCTGAATCGGCCACGTCAGCGTATACTCGATCGCCGACAGGAGCAGGGCCACTTCCTGCTGTCCCTCATGTGGAAGCCGCTGGAAATCAACAGGTGTGAAGGCGTCAGCACCTAGGCCTGGGGAGGCCTTCATCTTGGCACATGCTGCGTCAATCATGTCGGGTGAAATGCCAGGAAGCGGATTATCAGTAGCAACCGACTGGATCTGCCAAAAGAGGTCACGAATCATGTCAAGGTCAGGTTCCACTGGGGCCCACAAGGCCTTGAAAGGCAGCGCCTTCTCATCCATGATGTCACGGGGATGGAAAGCAGCACCCTGTGGGGTAACATGTAGACCTGTGCAACATTCCGTT